CCTTTGAATGTTAATGCAGCATCATTCGCTGCATATAAGGCAACTATTTGAGACACTCATTATAGCATGAGAAAATGTTTTATTTGTTGGAAATGCTGCTGTCTTAAGACTTAATGCATAAACAGTAGATTCCCAAAATTTAAGGTGGTGACATTCACATTGACCAGGAAAAGGGTTTACAGTTTATGGTGAATGATGTCAGACTGGAGAACAGTGTTACAGGATCACTGTCACATCACTTCACCAGCGATCGTTGATGTAAAAACAGATGCTTCCACCTTTTGCTGTCCACATTGATGAGCTGGAAGTCCATCACAAGCTCACTCAGCCACGTCTCTGTGAAACACAAAACAGATGAAGATAAAAGTCTCTGTTCCCCACCATTAGCATAAGCTTGACCATTTTATTGCTTATTGTGGGCACGAGGGAAAGAAATATACCTGGTAATGGTGGGAAGACCACGCTGGTAATGCATATGATGATGAATCAGCTGTGTGGTATGATGAATGTCTGTAATAAAGATGAGTGCACAGCACTATTTACACCTCCTCGGGTGAAAAATTACATATTGCCACCAAAATCTGTGGCAATATTGTGGGGAGTGGTGGCGAAGAGGTTAGAGAAGATGGGCCTACGATTGGGAAGTTGCAGGTTCAACTCCCGGTACCGTCAACATCAAAATGTGGGTGGAAAAGGTGAAACACCCACACCTGATGCCGCCCTCATTCACCCCACTCTGGGCCCCTGAGCAAGGCACTTAACCCCCACCATCTGCTCCCATAAACAGGCCTCTCTGGAAAATGAGTTTTCCTGACTCAGTGAGATTGCCCGTATAAATAAAGGGTAAATGAAATGAAAATAAATAAAAGAAACTGCAGAGCATGTTTGAGTTTTCTGCAAAATTGCACAACTTTCCAATGTATTTTTTATTTTTATTTTGGTTCTGCAGAAAAATCTATGAATAATTGAGTCCATGAACTCTGAACTGTGACATTGAGGGTTGTCACAGTATATACAATGTGGTAAATGACTGATTTATTTTATTCATGCAATTTCGTGCAATCTATTAGCACATAAAATTACGTCCTAGGAATATCTCTCATCTATTATCGCACCCTATTTTAACCCAATATCTGTAAAAGCAACAGCTTTATAGTCAGTTTATATGTGCAAAGTGAGTTACATGCGGTGTTTGAACTGAGTTGACTCCAGAAGTTCATCACTTGTACATCCAATAATTATTTGAGAGAAAATTTGTTCTCGTACACTCGTTATTTTTTTTAATCTATTTTCCAAAATACGACAGGATGCATTAAAGTATTGTGACATTTCTTCCTGTTCATGAAAAAGCAATTATTGTGACTTTAATAAATGGATTTCTACTTTCCTAATGAGTAAGTGTTGTTCACTCTGTTCCTGTTGCTCACAGATCTCCACTCATCCTTGACCACAATGGAAATGATAGAAGAGAAATGCATGTGAAAACCACATTAAACTACTCAAATCTGAGTGCTGCGGGTGTCGACTGGCCTTGTCATTGATATTATTACAGCAGGAAACATCTCCAGAACAGTCAGAGGACAGAGCAGCTCACTCACATCTCCATCATGATTCTTACTTGCCTTTCTTTAGTTCTCCTCCTCACAGGTAAGCTGAGATCATTTTGTATTATGCATGTGGCTTTAAAAATGAGAAATATTTTGCTTCTTGCTTAAACAATTTTTTCTCTTATTAAGTTTATACCTGGGCATTATATTGAAAATTATAACCAAGTTTCTTTCTGTCAGGTGTAAACACCTCCAGTTCAGAGTCACAGGAGCTTCATGGTGATCAACAGAAGTCCTACAACAGCTCTTTAGAAATTTCAGGTACAAATCTCATGTTCTGTTTAAAAAAACAATTCAAACTCAAACTAACTCTGAGAGTAACAGAACTATTCACCGTGATTAAACTCAACCTTTACATAACGTTAATACTTTATCATGTACAAAAATTGTGTGTCTAGATGTAGTTCTAAGAAAAGAAGATGTCTACTCTTTTAAGATAAAAAAAAATGTATTTAAATGTTCAAGGAATGCCAAATAAAACCATTTGTATCGGCCCATCTCAGCAAACCATTGCATCACAAAGGTCTTTGACTGAGTTCATTATATTTCATACAGACTAATAAATTATATTGTTATACAATTACAAAGATTGTTTAAGAATATAAAATGTAAAGATTGTAAGCTCTCACTGAATTATTTTCTGACAGGTGGAAATATTACAACAGATGAGCCATCAGGTCTTTATAATGACACTTCCAATCAGAGTCCTGAAGAAAATGGTAAGACTAAATCATTTGTCTAAAATTATGTACAGACATTTAATAAGTCCTGAAACTGTACACATATTTGATGAAATTTACTTACTTTTAATTTATTTATGTGTGAAATGTTGGATGTATAAAAAAAATCTTGCTTTCTGCATGACCTTAAAGGATTTTGTTTGAAAAATGAGTGGTGGAAAAAAGGTTAGAGAACAGACAACATCAAAATGTGGGTGGGAAATGTGAAGCACCGCATCTGCCTCTACCTTCATTTGCCCCACTCTGGGCCCTTGAGCAAGGCCATTCAACCCCACCGTCTGCTCCCCCGAGCAGGTTGGCAGCTCCCTGCTCCACACACCGAGGGCTGTGGATCAAGAAGGGCATCTGGTGTAAAAACAATTACCAAGTATTATAAAAGATTAAATAAATTTTTATTTTTCAGTATGATACAGAGTCTGACTTTAAGATGTTGACTTTTGGGCTATTTTATGCTAAGATGTTAATTAATTCCTCCAGATGGCCTTAAAACAGTACACACATGAATTCCACTTGTTTAAATTTAAATTACACTTATTGTGTGTAATATTAGATACACAAAACTGATTTGCCTACAGTATGATTTAAAAGGATTATGTTGGAATAATTGTTTCTTCTGTGAGTTACAAGGTCAAGTTCAGAATCATCGTATGGACAAAGAACAACAAGGAGTGTTGTCATAGTTTTCTTTGCCCATACATGGGTTACCGAGGCCCCACCCTGGAGTCAGTCCTTGGGGAGGGGTTAACTGGTGAGTGCCTGGTGACCAGTCCTCTACCCATGGAGCCCAGTTAAGCTCAGCCCAAGTGAGCTGCATGGGTTTGCCTTCCTGTAGACCCACTGCCTGCAGAAGGGGCCTTACGAATCGGCTGTATGATGCCGTGGGTGGTAGCTGAAGGTGGGGGCCTTGGTGCTCTGACCTTAGTTTACCAACGCTGGCTTTTGGGACATGGAATAACACCTCTCTGCAGGAGTCTGAGCTTGTGCATGAGGTTGAGAGTATCGACTAGATACAGCCAGGCTCACCTCAATGCATGATGTGGGCTCTGGAACCATCTTGTTGAGAGAAGCTGGAACTTTGTCCACTCTGGAGTTATCCATGGTGTGAGGTACTGGGCAGGTGTGGGTATACTTATAGCCCACAAGCTTGGTGCCTGTGTATTAGAGTTTTCCCCTGAGAAGAAGGTATGCACTCCGTGTCTTTGGGTGGGGGTCAGTGGCTCTGACTGTTTGTGCCCAAGTGCTGAACAGCAGTTCAAAGTACTCATCCTTAGCGGGGGTTCTGCTCCAGCTGGGGTCGCCTTTTCTCTGCGGAGGGACTTCAATGCCCATATGAGTCATGACTGTGTGACCTGGAAGAGCATGACTGGGAGGAACCTACCTACTGTACCTATAAGAGTGTTAGCTAGGAATGACTGGCAGAAGAACCCATCAGAAAGATCTTTAACCTAAACCTCTGAGAGAACTTCAACTGCATCCCAGCAAAGGCGAGGGACACTGAGTCTGAGTGGACCATGTTCCATGCCCCTGTTGCTGAGGCAACTGTCTTGAGCTGTGGATGCAAGGTTGTCAGTTCCTCTAACAGCAGACATCCTCAATCCTGGTGGTAGAAACCCAGGGTGAAGAACGCTGTTAAGCTGAAGATGAATCCTATTGAACCTTGCTGGCTGGCAGGCAGCTGATGGAGGATGAAATTCCCTTGAGTTCCTCAAGACTCTGGATGTTGTTGGGTTGTGTTTTGGTTGACACACTTTTGCATTATTGTATGCAGGGACCTGCAAAGATAGACACAGATAGGTGGTGCTAGAGCTCCAGTTGTTTGTTCTCTGGACCAGGCAAATGCCCTTCTGAGATTTAATTTTCTTCTGAGCTTTGGTTGTTGAGGAAATGACAAAAAGAGGAGGGGAAACACAAGAAAAAACAAGAGGTACTATAAAAGAAAATGTCAAGAAAGTATTTTTCTGTGGCAAATGACAGTCCCTTCAGTGGAACCTGGTTCCTCGATCAATAAACATCCTTAGCACTTTTTGAGATTAGCTGATGTTCTGCAGCTGCCTGGTTTGAGACAAAAACTAATTATGTTGAAATTGGAAACCTCCACTTTACATTGCTCTGGTAAGTTTGAAAAACTTTTTTTTTTAGCAGTTCTTACACATTTGTCTACATTTTATTGGCGTTTTCATTTTCTCTACTTAGCAAACGTTAGTTCTGTTTATAATGGTCAATTAAAATGCTATTCCTCTTCCACCTGTTTATACATATCCAGTAAGTCCAGATGTTTGTTCTGTTCATATGGTCTAAATATTAAGTCAAATAGAAGACCCACATGCCAAATCTGGTCCTCGTTAACATTTTATTTGGCCCCCAAAATAATATTTTAAAGGTAGCTCTTAGCTTAAATAATAATAATAAATTAAAATCTTGAAATGTAGCTCTTAGATTTAGTTGTTACATCTGCTCTAATGGTTTTTATTTGACTCTAGTCTTTTTCGTTGCGATGGCAGAAGACAAATAAACTGCACACAGAGTTCCTTCATAAATGGAAAAAAAAGAAGAAGAAATGTGCTGGATAAAACAAAAAGTCAGATGTATGCTACAGAAGCAATTTTAATAAAGTTCTGTTCACAGATTTTCTATATGTGTACTTTATGAGGCCATGGTCCTCAGTAGGAAAAGGGTCGATAGTTCTTTCCAGGTTGGGGGTGAGTTGCTGCCTCACGTGAAGGAGATCATGTATCTTGGGGTTTTGTTCACAAGTGAGGGAAGAATGGAGCAGGAGATTGTCAGATGGACTGATGCAGCTTCCACAGTATTGTGGTCTCTGTGCTGGTCCACTGTGGTGAAAAAGATGCTGAGCTCCAAGGCAAACCTTTCTGTTTACCATTCGATCTACATACCTACCCTCACCTAAGGTCACAAACTTTGGGTAAATACAAAAATAATGAGATTGCTTATACTAATGGTTAAAATGAGTTTTCTCCATAGGGTGGCTGACTACCGTAGAAAGAGAGTTAGAAGTTCAGTTATTTGTGAGAGACTCAAAGTAGAGTTGCTGCTCCTCCAGTTGAAGTGATTCAAGCGTCTGGTAAGGTTGGCCCCTGGAAGCCTCACTAAGGACGTTTTTCCTGGCATGTCCAACTGGTAGGAGACCCTAGGGAAAACCCAGGACATGCTGGAGAAACTATGTCTGGCCTGGGAACATCTTGGAGTGCTCCCAGAAGAGCTGGAAGAGTTGGCTGTGGAAAGAGATATCTAGACCTTCCTGCTCAAGCTGCTGCCCCTGAGACCTGACTCTGGAACAAGCAGAAGATGATGGATGGAGATACAAGTTATTATTCTAATATTTTTGATCTTTGGGCATATTTAAGCCAAGACTTTAATAATTATTTATTAACCTTTTATTTAAGAAGGCAAACCCCATTGAGATTAAAGATCTCTTTGGCAAGAAGGGCCTGAAGGCAGCCTAACATGCATGTTTTTAAAATGTGGGAGGAAACCGGAGTACCTAGAGAAAACCCACGTAAACGTGAGGAGAACATGCAAACTCCACACAGAAAGAACCGGGGTTTGAACCCAGGGCCTTCTTGCTGTGAGGCAACAGTGCTAACCACTGAACCATGGTGCTGCCCTAATTACTACCATAGATGCATTTAACGAGACTGAATGCGACATAAACGTGAAGCACTTTAATTTAAAATAATCTAATTTCTGTATAGCTGACATATCTTTTTATATTAGTCAAATGTATAACACGGTTGAAATATTTTTTTCTTTTGGTTTTCAAAGCATCTCAGACTTGGTAATAAAGTGTCATGTTCATTCTAGCAGACTCCAGCTTTCCTCATCTTCCATTTCTGCTATTAAAAAATAATTAATAATAAATTTGTTCTTTGTTTTTTCAGCACATACCTGCACTTACCAGAATGTTTTAAACTTCTTGAACCTGACTAAAAGTAATGAAATGTATACCATGAGCCGACCGACTTCACATTACAAAAACGAAACACTGATTTTTCTAGATATGGCCATCTACGCCATCCTGGATGTGGTGAGTTGTTCATTATTTTTTGAATACTTGTGTCAGGGTTTAAGTTTTTGTTTAACCTTTATTCCTTGTTGCTTTCTTTGTTTTATTCTTAGTTTATTTTTGGTTTGTTCATTAAAACTTACTGAGCTTCCTGTTTGAAGTTCGTCAATTCCTTTTTTACTTGGGTTCTTTTATTGTGTTAAATGTTAAATGTTCGTTGACAGATTGAGTTTTATTCTGGTAATCCGTTTCTACATGTCATTTATTGGTTTTGTCTTTTCAGTGTCACACTTTTATATTCAACTTTACGAGTAACACTGCTAATTTAAATGAATATAAACATGATGTAATATGGCTGCTCTTCTCGTCTGAATTAACTTGATAATTCAGAGATGCCGTCACAAAACTTTGATTAAAAATGGTTTTACTACTTCACTGAACTGTTGTTTAGCGTATTGAAATCTATAGTCAGTGATCTTGAACTTTTAATGGATTTTTTTATTGCTGTTTTATGTTTTAATGTAAGTTTTACTGTGCACATTTTTCATTACAACATTTTGACAATAGAACAACTGCAAAGTTTTTCAAATATGATGGTTTTTTTTTTCTTTCACAGAAAGAATCTGACCAAACTTTCATATCCTACATTTGGATAGATATGGTTAACTTAATATTATTTTAATATAAACAAAACAAATTATACACCAGCTACTTGAATAGAACAAATATATTCATTTTTCTTCTTCCCTATTTTTTCAACACTTTTTCCCAGGCCTGGGCGAATCCCCTTCTTGGATGGAATGAAAGTATTTTTTGTGGAATTTCACAGTTAACGGTTCCGACTGAAGTTTTGTGGAAGCCTGATCTAACCATCGAAGAGATGTAAGTGTGCATGTGTAAGATTTAGCTCCTCACTTTGTATACAGCGACAACAGAAACTGAAGACAGACAGTAACGAACAAACTAAACTTAATAATTGATTACCTCAAGCCTTAAGAAAAACATATACCTTTTTTCTATTAAACTAGAACACCAGATGGAATTATGTATTTTATCAGCAATAGCAATATGTGGACTCAGTTGTAAAAAGATTGTCTAATGTGTTCTGTCTTGTGTCATTTCTTTAGATTCTTGTCTTTACTTGCGTTTCCTGCCTTCCCCAGTCATGTTGTCAGCTCATGCTTCACCTGTTCCCAGTTCCAATCACCGCAGGTGTTTGTCATGATGTCTCGTCAGTGTCTCTTTAAGTTCAGCGTCTTACTCCATGTCTCCCTGATCTTGTGATTTTAAGCTTTGCTGCCATGACAACTTTTTCTTTTTTTAAATAAAGAGTTATTCTTTATTTTGTTCCCGGTGTCTGTCTGCACCTGGGTTCGATCCACCACAGACGATGATATACAATTTACTTTGTGAAGAAAAAATAATAATAATAATAACTGACACCCTTGAGGGCTTTTGTTCATTTTGTATCCAACATTTTTTTCCCCATAAGATTTTATAGGTGGGGAATAATCAAAACCGAGGCGCTGACCAAAAAAATAAATGTATATTATTAATAACGTAGCTTTTTCATATTGTGTTTATACATAAAATCTACAAATTAGTAGACTTTTGTTAAGTATTCAAATATTTCTTTATAGTTTGATTCCAATAATGCCAACTGTAAAATGTGAAAACATTGTTTAATTTCAGTATTGCAAAAACAGACTTGAAAGTAGAATTACAAAATTTAATAAAAAGTTTGAATAATGGCTTCTTATGGAATAAAGATAAATAAAAATTGTGTGATTTGCAGCTGGCAACTTCTGAATTCCTTCAGGAAATAAAGTCTTGTTTTATTTTATTAACCTTTTTTTTTATTTATTTAACCAGGCAAATCCCATTGAGATCACAGATTTTTTTTTGCAAGGGAGGCCTGGGCCTGAAGGCAGCCTAACATGCATGTTTTGGACTAAAGGAGAAAACCGGAGTACCCAGAGAAAACCCACACAAGCACGAGAAGAACATGCAAACTCCACACAGAAAGACCCCAGGTCCAACTAGGGATTGAACCCAGGACCTTCTTGCCGTGAGGCAACGGTGCTAACCACTGAGCGGTCATGCTGCTCAAGAGAGAGACAGACAATGATAGAACAACAATAAAACAAAGAGAATAAATACTGTAAACAACAAGTATAGAGAACCAAAATGTAAAAGAATGGTGGTAAAAAAAAAACTTGATAGCACGACTTAAAACAGGAATGAAAAGAAATGAACACAGACAAGACTGAGGTTTTAGTTTTTGGACCGGAGTATCTTAGGAATACATTTTTCAGTCTTCCACCCTCCTTGGATGGCATTAATCTGGCCTCCAGCTCTAATGTTAAAATCTTGGTGTTATTTTTATCAGGACATATCGTTTTATCCCCACATTAAAAATATCATATCGCTAAAATTAGAAACATCTAAAAATTATGCAGAAAAACTGGTTCATGCATTTGTCAGATCTAGACTGGACTATTGCAATGGTTTTGTTATCTGGGTGTCCAAATATTTCTTTAAAACGCCTTCAGTTGATCCAAAATGCTGCTGCCAGAGTCTTAACTGGAGTTAGTGGGAGAGATCATATCTCTCCAGTTTTAGCTTCTCTTCATTGGCTCCCTGTCAAATCCAGAATTTAATTCAAAATCTTACTTCTAACCTACAAAGCTCTCAACAACCTAGCTCCATCTTATATTCGAGATCTTATATGTTCCATATTTTCCTAACAGAGCACTTCGCTCTCAGACTGCAGGCTTACTCGCGGTCCCTAGAGTTTCCAGAAGCAGAATGGGAGGAAGATTTTTCAGTTATCAGGCTCCTCTCTTGTGGAACCAACTTCCAGTTTCTGTCCATGAGGCCGACACATTGACCAGTTTTAAAACTTTCTTTTTGATGAATCTTATAGTTAGGGTTGGCTTGTTATGCTGCCATAGGCTTAGACTACTGGAGGACAAACTGACCTCATTTCCTTAAATGAATTGTTAAAATTGAATAGTTTTCATCTGATATTATTTCTATCTTAACATGTGATTCTTGACCTGCCATTGTGTATCTGTTCCTCAAACCCAACCGGTCGACGCAGATGACCACTTGTCCTGAGCATGATTATGCTAAAGGTTTCTTCCTCATGAGGGAGTTTTTCCTTTCCACTGTTGCCTTCATGCTTGCTCAAGATGAGAGTTATGTTATGGAATTAAATTCAAAGCAGTCTGCTCCTCAGATAAATGATGCTAAATTATTATCCATCCATTATCTTTTACCCACTTCTTCCATTTTGGGTCACGGGGGTCGCCGGTGCCCATGTCTGGCAATCATTGTGCGAGGGGTGGGGTACACCCTGGACAGGTCGCAAGTCCATCACAGGGCCACATAGAGACAAACAGCCATTCACTCACACCTAGGGACCATTTAGAGTTACCAATCAGCCTAACATTCATGTTTTTGGTCTGTGGGAGGAAACCAGAGTACCCGGAGAAAACCCACGCATGCACAGAGAGAACATGCAAACTCCACCCAGAAAGGTGCCCGGACCAGGATTTGAACCAGGAACCTGTGCACTGAGAGGCAGCAGCTCTACCAGTTGCACCACCCGCTAAATTATTATTTTATATATAAATGTTTCTGTGCAGTGCACTGAGATGACTTCTGTTGTGACTTGGCGCTATAGAAATAAACTGAACTGAATTGAAATTGGTAGAACATTGAGTTTGTTGTCGAGTAATTATTACACTATGAATTATAGTAAAGATTAGGGGTGCACGATTTTTGGCCGATGTCTGATATGTCGATATGTTAAAACTTATTTGGCTGATAACCGATACTGATGTGATATACAGATGCCAAAAAGGGGGTTGAAAATAATCTAACACTTCATCTTGGATTATGTTTGATGTCCAATTTATTCATGACATTTATTCTCTCTAACACAATGACAACACTCGAACAGTGCAAATTTGTAAATTTTCACAAATCTAAACTCAACCTGTTCACAAGTGAAAAGCGCGTAAGTAGTAGCGCATAGTGCATTTTGACTTCTTCTTCTTCTTCTCCGCCATGATCAGATCAGGTAGGCACGTGTGACGTCATTGCGTTGTGCTGGCGCTGCAGGCATCCTTGTCGCTGGATTGTCGTACCAAAACGGCGCCTTTTTTATATCGATGAGTTATTTTGATGGAATGTCCGATATTTAACTTTCACGCTAATATCGGCCGATACCATGCAGATAATATTGTGCATCCCTAGTATAGATAAATGTTTAGGTAGACTGTAGTAAGTTGCCCATTGACTCAGGACAAGGAAACATAGCAGTGAAAACAGAATTTACTGGCTCACTCTCGCTCATGTGTCTACACTGTCCTCCTACCTGTTTAACACCATTGGGCCTAAAATGGTCCCTCTCATAAAAGTCCAAAGAAAATGTATTGCTTTTTTTTATTTATTTTTTTTACACTTCCACTGTATCGTCTTTTCAACAATATCAAACCTAATTATAGATATACGTAAAGTATATTTTATTTTTTCTTATTGGGTGGCACAGTTGGCCTCCTCTCAGTGAGAAGGTCATTAAATCTAATCCCAGTCCGTGGGCCTGTCTGGGTGGAGTTTGCATGTTTTCTCCGTGCATGCGTGGATTTTCTGCGGGTACTCGGGTTTCTTCCCACAGATCAAAAACATGCACGTTAGACTGATTGTTAACTCTAAATTGTCCCTAGGGGTGAGTGACAATGTGAATGGTGGTTTGTCTCTATGTGTCCCTGTGATGGACTGGAGACCTGTCCAGAGTGTCCCCCGCCTCTCACACAGTGACTGCTGGATATGGGCACCAGTGACCCCCTGCGACCTGAAAAGGAAGAAGCAGGTAAAGACAAAGGATGCATGGATGGATTTTTCCACTTTTTAAATACCTTGTTTACATCAATTAAAACTTGTAATTGTTTTTAATGGGGGGGGAAAATGCAAAATATGCAATATTTTCTAAAAATGAGGTGCAGGTGAAATATTTGGCACAAGGTTATCAGAGCCTTGACCAGGTCAACAATTAATAAAAGCATTGGTTTTGATGCATTATTTTTTTAGAGCAATGACCGTTTATTCAAAAACCTTAGATATTTTACCGTAAGGTCCAAAATGGTCCCTCTCAAAAAAGTCCAATAAAAAAAGCCACATATAGATATATTTTTACTTCCCATTGTGTGGGCATCACAACTAAAACCTGGTTTTGTTTGTTTGTTTTTTAAGGTAGAGGCTTAGATTTATTGGGTATTCATGAAAAAAAAAAACAATATATGAGGATTACAGTACATCAAAAAAATATGTGATTATAATGGGAGTCAACGAGACCCAAGGGTAAAGAGTGTATGCTTTGTGCAGTTCTATTATATGCACCTTGCAATAGAAGGAGTGATTTAATAATGATGATGATGATGATGATGATGAAAAATAATAAATCCTGGCCAAGATTCATGAAATTAGTTTTTAAACCGACTGATATATTGAGAATCAAAAATGGCAGATAAGCAGAATGCACACATTTAGTCCTTTATGGTGCTTTGAGGGTTAAGGTCTAAACTTTTTAACATAAATGAGATTTTATTATATTACAGGGTAGAGAAGGACAAAGCTCCACCCAGCCCTTTTCTCAAAGTATTTAGTAATGGTTTAGTGGAATATAGGAACGACCAAGTTGTGATCAGCACCTGCAGGATGCGCGTCTACAGATTCCCATTTGACTTCCAGAGCTGCAACATCTCCTTTAAGTCTGTCTTGCACTCCGGTGAGTCTTGCTTTCACAATCTTTAATTTTATTTTAAGTTGCAACCACCTGAAAGAATATCTGACCTAAACTGTTAAATAATGCGAACAGTGTTTCCCTCCCATTTCAGATGAAGAACTCAAGATTCTGTATTATGAAAATGATACAGCACTCACTGAGTGGTCGCGTGAAGTGATGCAGACGCAGTACGAGTGGCTTTTCATGAACCAGTCAGTCACCAAGAAAACTGTCAGCTACTTTGGATTCAACCAAACCGTAATTGTTCACACAGTAAGTATTTTCTGGTTTCACTAAAAGCAAAGTACTTGACCTTTTCTTTGCTGAGCTGAGTCCTGTTAAGTTACTGCTGTTTCCTCCCAGCAGTTGAAAGAAATGTTGAGCTGTGCTGCTGTGGTCCTGCTTCTTAGAAACTTGAGAAACATCTGTTTGTGTTTCGATGTTGCAAGAGTTCAATTCACACAGGAGCTGTATTGTTACTTCTGAAGCAAACGGTTTCATTTGCTATATAGTTGAATAACAGGAAGAATCTCTTGATGCTGTTAATAGGCATGTTTATGTAGATGCCTATTAACAAAACAACCTCTGCTTCACAGCTCAGTTACAGAAGGCGTCAGAAGTTATCAGACTCCTTTCTGAGTAGACAGAGACTCTTGACTTCACATGCATGGTTCTGTATTAATTTACCATTGGTACGTGAAAACATCCATGACCTTTACATAAAAGTCCCCCAACAGTTGTGACGTATAACTTGAAAAATAAGAGCGATACCAATATCCATTTTGGTGAGTGGCTGCATCTAGGTGTGAAAAAGGTCACTCACCAAAATTGGGTTTCCTCTTCAAACTCCAAGATGGATGCTGCCATATATGTCTGTCCATATTGTGAGCTGGATAATTTGAAAAATAAGAAAACGTGCCGACTTCCATTTTGGTGTGTTGCTGCATCATAATGTAAAAACGGCTACTATCAAAAATTGTTATGTCAAAATCCAAAATGGTCACCACCACATATGTAAACCTGTCACTCATATAATTTGAAGAAACTATGCTTTCTAGTTTTTATAATGCTTAAAATTATATTTTCTTAAAATGATTGGGGATGGCCTAAGATTAATCTATCACCTGCGTCGGATGTTATCAACCATTAAATAGCCGTGATTAGTTATCATCCCCATATGTAGTGGTCAGACTGCCCCTCCTGTACCTCCTAGTGGGTTTAAAGGTACGTTATTTGCGTTGTTAGTGATGATAATAGCTTCATTTGATTAGGTTTAGAGTAAAGGGTCTGGCAGTTAGGTTTAGGGTCTTGGTTAGGTTTAGGCACAAGGGTAAGGGGGTTACGTTTAGGTTTGGTCCTCTGGGTCAGGTGTAAGCTTACGGTTAAAAGGGTTACATAAGCTGGAAAAAAACAAAAGATACTTCCTGGTTTACTCCCGTGCGACGCTGCCTATTATCAGCAATAATAACGTACCTTTAAACCTCCTAGGAGGTAGGTGAGACAGTTTGACCACTACATATGGGGATGATAACGACTAATAACGGCCATTTAATGGACTGATAACATCCGAAGCCGCTCAATCTATGGTGGTCAAGGCCACCATTTTCTACCCCCTAACTCCGCCAATGGCCCAGTTAATGGATAAAATTGCTCACTCCACTTGCCAGGATCCATCACTCTGCACTGGCTCAGACAAAAATACATAAATAAAATAACAAAAATACATCTGTTAAAAAACTACAAGATTCACTATTCAAATCTGTTAGGAATGGGGGGAATCAGTGAACCGCTTCGAGTATTTTAATAGAACTTTGACCAATATTTTTTTTGGTAGAAATCTTTCTGTTCACCTACTTACCTGGAAATTACACACAACACATTATTATATTCTACATAAAGAAGTGCAATGTTCAACCATCTGACACATCCTTTCACAGATCACGATGAAGAGGAGGTCTTCCCTCTATGTTGCAAACTTCTTGCTGCCTGTTCTCTTCTTCTTGTGTCTGGACTTTGCCTCCCTCCTGATGTCTGAAGGTGGAGACAAGATTGGCTTCAAGGTCACGGTGCTGCTTGCTGTCACAGTGATGCAGCTTATTCTCAATGAGATTCTACCGGTTTCCTCAAACAACATTCCACTTGTAGGTGAGAACAAAAGTTTTGTTCCCAGCCAACATTTATTTGTGACACTCTGTTTGCTCACTGTGGCAACCCCAGAGAAAGAAAACAGCCGAATGACCAAAAGCTTTTTCTGAATGTATATTAAAAATAAATAGAGAACATGGAGACAGAATTATGAACACAAGGAAGTAAACAAAACTTAAATTTAAAAAAGCTTAAAAAAATAATTTAATATGTTCAAATGATGGACACATCTAAAATTAGAGGCTTAGCGTTCCTTAAAAGAATACATATTAGCCACCATGTGTTATCCCAGAGTTCAACATCAGAACAATCTTGCAGTGAGAAATGATGGACTTGTAGCCGTTTTGGTTGAACTTGTCTCAATGGTAAGAGAATTGAACCAAGAATACTGATGCTGCACTGCTGAGGGAGACGAATGAGGAATAGATGAAGTGGGTGTGGAAGGATGACTGGAAAAAAAGAGGAGCAGGTGAATGATGACACAACTGAACACAGGGAACCTCAAAAGATGAAGACACAAGTTGATGAAACATAAAGGGAATAACAAAACACAGATAAACCATAAAACACAAAATCAGATCTTGACAAAACCTTGAAAAAAGCATTATGCACAATCTCATGCAGTATGTGCTGTGATTGACTCTGGACTACTGCCACAGCAAACTTTAACTCAACATCTGTAAATTTCACTGAGATATAAACATTATTGTGTTGTCTAAATGTATTAACCTATGGCATCCAAATTTAACGGGGTTGCTTACAAAAGTTAATCCAACAGTAATTGTTCATCCAATGACTACTTTCTGAAATCCAGATGTTCAAAGTCTCCTTTATTGTCAATTCCATCAGATGTACAGACATGCAAAGACTCAAAATTACATTTCTTGCTGTCCCTGGTGAAACTAATGGTGTAAAAACATCACATCACAATAACTAAGAACAAATAGTAATAAAAAAGTTTTTCCATTAAAAAAAATGGGAGAGAATTTAGCCTCCTCACTGCCTGATGGAAAAAACTGTTTGACAATCAGTGCGTGCACGAAGGCTCCTCTTCCCGGAGGGCAGAACTTCAAAACATAATGTGATACTTTAATTCCTGATACGTTTGTTAAAAAGCCAAACAGTGTTAACTGTAAATGTTAAAGTTTCGAACTAAGGTGTTGCGCAATGTGTATCTTTCACTGACGGTGATCATAAAACTTTGATAGACCCTTAAGTAAACTAAAATATTTTAACAAATGAAGACAATATCAGACACACACAAAAAAAATCAAAAACTAATTCCACATCTCCTGTGATGGATTCAAGACCTGTCCAGGGTGTACCCCGCCTCTCGCACAGTGATAGATGGACATGGGTACCAGTGACCCCCGCGACCCGAAAAAGGAAGAAGCGGGTAAAGATAATGGATGGAATGGATGGAAATTCCATATCTCCACAGGAACCAGTTTATCTGCCAGAGGCTTTTGAAGGCAAACTAGAACGGTGTGCCGGGTGCCCATATCCAGCAGTCCCTGAGTGAGAGGCGGGGGACACCCTGGACCGGTTGCAAATCCATGGAGCCAAGGAGACAAACAACCATTCTCACTTACAGTTAGGGACAATTTTTAGTTACCAATCAGTCTAACATGCATGCTTTTGGTCTGTGGGAGGAAACGGGAATACCCGGAGAAAACTACGCATGCACGTAGAGAACTGTCGAAGATGACAGATATTTATTGAAGCTGACTTCAACAGTTCTGTTTATGAAGAGGAACAAACACAGTCATACAGTATCTTTATTAAAATGTTCTGTCTGCTTCTTTTAGTGATTTACTGCATTGGGATTTTTGGTCTGATGCTGCTCAGCCTCATGGAGACTATTTTGGTGAAGTATCTGATGGAGAAAGACTCAGCATCTCAGGACAGCAACACAGACAATGGCATGAAGATGAATGAGAGAGGTGACAATCAGAGCTGAGCCAAATTTCACAGATGAGATTAATCTCAGACTGCACCCACTACTCACTGTAAAATGGCTTCAAGTATCACGAGCATTACATTTTTATTTCCTGTGTGTACATACATATATTGTCTTAATTTCTGTGTCCTCATATTTCCAGACTTAAAGAACAGTTCATTCATCAGTGATGAGATGGCTTATCAAACATCATCAGCCTACAAGGAGGTTGGTGTTTCATTCAACTTGGAACAAGAAAGATGTTGGGTCAAATGTTATTTTTTGCTATTTTGTTGTTAAAGTTCAAAAGAAAGCAAAAGTTGTGACTACATGAAAATAATGTTAGAAACAGAAATGATAATTTTTTTGTAGCTTAAATGAGAAAATCGTTTAATAGTAATAATAACCTTTGTTTTACCAGGTAGGTCAATTCTCATTTACAAGAACGATCTGGTTGGTCAAGAGGCAGCAACACAAGTAGACATAAAACAGTACAGTAATGATAAAAACATAAAACTTAAAACAAACAATATAAATCTGGAATGAGGAGCAACCAAAGGAGGAATGAGCTTTAGGTGTAAGGAGACTGATGAGGTTAGAACTCAAACTGCAATTTGGCTTGTGAATAGTAAGAAGTGACTGCAGGTAACTTGGAGTTTTTCCAATGAGAGTTTTATAAATGAACAGAAACCAGTGAATTTGTCTGCGAGAATGAAATTGGCGGTTCATCAGGGAGTAAAGATCACAGTGGTGCATTTTAAAAGAAGCTCCAGTTAGAAACCGGATAGCAGTGTGATGGATAATGTCCAGTTTGTATAGGGGAGTTTTTGAGGCAGACTTGTAAACCACATCATCATAATCCAGGATTGGAAGCACTGTCATTTTAATCTCAAGTCGACAGTCATGTCAAACTGATTCAAAACACCAAAGTCCATGCTCATTAATCCAGGTATAAAATCCAATAATGTTCAGTCAGGTCGTCTAGACAGTTTCTTTTTTGAATGGAGGGCAAAACGTCTCAGCACAAAAAAAAAAAGAAAGAAATGAAACCGTCCAGATGACCTGACTAAACATTGTTGGATTTTATAACTGGATTATTGAGCATGGACTTTGGTATCTCAATACCATTTGAGGAGGAATATTTTTTTCCGAGAAGGAGACAATATTTTGACTATCTGGCTTGTACTTGAACGTTCAACCTATGATCGTCTTGCTCTGAAGCAACAGTGCTACAACTCTATCATGTAAATCATTTTTGTACAAGCTACAAAAAAAAGTGAACCAAAACTGAGCCTTGTGGTACACCATATAATAATTTTAAAAAAACTTCTCACCGTCAGTGATATTGAACTTTTCATGACTTGAAATCAATTAAAACTAGTGGTTCCCAGCATTTTCTTCCTGGGAGTCACCTCCTAGAACACTCCTGTTGTAAATAGATTATTCTGTGCAGCTAAATTATTTGAATCCATCGTATTGTGGGGTTTTTTCATTGCACCCAAATACAAAGCAAACTCCTCATAGCTGTTTAACTAAGTCGTATCACTGTATGACAATACAATTGCTTTGATGCACTCAGTGCAACAGAGTGCATCAAACATGAGATGAACTGAGTTCAACTCATGTTGCACTCAGATAACAACACTACCCACTCCCTGCTTATGCATATGTGGTCTTTCTGTTTGGATTTACTCTGGGTACTCTGATTTCTACTCACAGACCAAAAACGTGCATACGAGGCTAATTGGTAACTCTAAATTGTCCCTAGGTGTGAGTGAGAGTGTGAATGGTTGTCTGTCCTGTTTTCTTCTATGCGGCTCTGTGGTGGACTTGTGACCTGTCCAGTGTGTAACTCACTTATTGTACAATGGCTGCTAGAGATCATCACCACAACCCTGCATGGATAAGTGGGTAAAAAAAATTGGATGGATGGATGTTGTGACATTATAATAAATATTTGACTTTTGATGACACCGTGATTGAAACTTGTGCCTGCCAGTGTAGGAACCAAGTGCCATTTTGTTCATTGTCTGGTTAACGTGTCCACTGACTAAATAACTCTTACAGGGCAGCAGCAGCCAACTGGCTGAATTATTCCTTGTGATGGAAAAGGCGTTAGAAGAGCTACAGGAAATAAAACTACTCACCAACAACAGACAGACGCGAGGCTACTGGACCAGACTGGCTAACAGAATCAACAAGGTGTTCACAGTTTTTTACATCACAGCAGTCATTGTGTTTTTATGCACTCTCTTTCCTCTTTGGATGTCACAGTCAGATTAAAAGGACAAGTGTTAAAAACATGTTTAGATCATTGTTCTATGTTATAAGCATGAAATTCATTGTAGTTTTTCTTTTCATGCACAAAAATAGCATCTGCTGATTGAGGGCTGGAAGAACAATGCCCAACTGATTAACCATTTACAAATTTATTTAATGTTTGCAAGACAAATATGTAGTTACATGATATTGACTGTTTATATTTGGGGAAATAAAGCATGATTAGATCTACATTAGAGAAAATAGTATTTTTCTGATAACATCAAGTTTTCTTCTTGTTTTCGGCACTAATATTAGTATCGGGTCTAAATAAGCAATGCAATTACTGATTTTTATTTTTATGTTTTTCCGTCTTCAAACTCTTGTGGTTATAACTGTGCTTTTGTGTTTTATCCAAAATGATAGGAAATGTAAAAAAAAAAAAAAAGAAAAGTTTTTGCTGCAACTTTTGTAAATCACACGAATAACTCATTCATTAACTCTGTCATTGGTCTGTTACTCAAATGTGTTTGCTGATGAATGCACATATTTATTAGCTAGTATTAAAATAATGTTCTGTTAATATTTAAAATATGCATCATAAACAGTTTTTTAAACAATTAAACATGTAGCTTATACTCAATGGATCAGATGAAGTAAAATGTGTATATTGTGATTAATTTATTATACTTAAAATAAACTCATTTTAAAACAGCAGGCAGATGTTCATTGTTTTTTTTTGCATGGGTCAACTGAAAGAGAGGAGGATAAACTTGAACATGGACAGATTGTAAATCAATAAGATAAATTAATAGATGAATAAATGAAGAAGAAACAAGTAAAAGTTTGTGTTTACAGAAGTTATTTAACTGTGGTAAATTCAACATAGAACAATCACTGTCAAATAAGGTATTAACTGTTTGCTGTCACTTCAGACTCTATAAAAAAAGAACACCTTACATTATAGATGCATGAGATGAGCAGTAGATAATTGCACCAAACTACGCTGAGTCTCTAAAGAAAGGAATCAATAATCATTCCATAATCCAAAAAGACACCTGCTAAGGACCTGAAGGATTAGAGGGAGTAGTGTGATCAATGGTCTGGCATGATGTGAGACAACCTGGATCCACTCTGATTTGCTTATAAGGTGAAACTTGTATAGAGGATGCAAGCCAGTGAGAGAAGTATTTGTGAAGACAAAAATACTTGGTAATGTCAGAGGTCAGAGGAGAATAGGCAGATTAGTTTGAGATGATGCAAAAGCACCTTAAATATCTACACTTCTTTAAGCACACAACACTTCCAGCGTTAAAGCAGATGGACTGCAGCAGCAGAAGTCCACACCGGGTGTCACTGCTGTCAGCTAAGAACAAGAAACTGAGGCTGAAATTCACACAGGCTCCACAAAATTGAGCCATAAGTGATTGGAAAGATATTGCTTGGGGCAATGGATCTGGATTCGCTGGACTCCAACGGACTCCACAGCCACCAGATCTCAATCCAGTCAAGCACCTTCAGGATGAGGCAGAAAATGGAGATTCATATCATGGATGCAAAGCTAACAAATCTGCAGCATATGATTGTTTCATGTCACTATGGACCAGAATGTCTGAGCATCTTGTTGAATCTGTACCACAAAGACTTAAGCAGCTTTAACGGTAGAGAGGCTCCAACCTGGTACTTGCGAGGAGTAACTTATAAAATGGCCGGTGAGTCACTGTGTTAGTCTTGTTAATGCATTTAATTCATCCAGATTTGGACAACATGACATTTGGCTCATAAATTAATGTTCTTGTTTGCACACTAATTGTTGTGCAAACAACTAAGAATTGTCTTACTTTTTAAAATTAATTGTTCTCTATCTTCTCCATGGGGCAGCACGGTGGCGCAACTGGTAGAGCTGCTGCCTCTCAGCGAGCAGGTCCCTGGCTCAAACCCCGGTCCAGGGGCCTTTCTGGGTGGAGTTTGCATGTTCTCTCCGTGCATGCGTGGGTTTTCTCCGGGTGCTCCGGTTTCCTCCCACAGACCAAAAACATGCATGTTAGGCTGATTGGTAACTCTAAATTGTCCCTAGGTGTGAGTGAGAGAGTGAATGTTTGTTTGTCTCGTTTGTCTCTATGTGTCCCTGTGATGGACTTGCGACCTGTCCAGGGTGTACCCCGCCCCTCGCACAGTGATTGCTGGATATGGGCACCGGCGACCCCTGTGACCCAAAATGGAATAAACGGGTAAAGATAGTGGATGGATGGATGGATATCTTCTCCATACAGGCCCTAATCATCAGGGCTCTAATGCAGCTGCATTGGCTGCATTTTTTTGCACTAATGCTTTTAAAAATGTGCAGAATAAAAACTAATAAATATTGAAGACACCCATTATAACACGGTAAAATGTGCAACTTATTGGAAGTGCAACTCGTTAAAGACTTTTATCCAGTTGAGTACTCAGCTGTGGGATTATAATGCAATGTGGTAAACTGCTGATTTGTTTTTGTGGTTGTTTCACATCTGCATGTAATATACTTTATGTATTCATGTCATCAAATAAAAGTACTAAACATTTGTTCAGCACTGCCTTTCTAGGTGTGTATTTTTCTACTTTTTTATGTTTTCATCATAAGGTGAAATCAGAACATTTTATCCCAGCTTTCATTTAATAGATGGCATGTTTAATTTACCAAGGATTACTCTTTTTAAATGGGTAAGTTTAAGCGAGCATGATACTAATTTATAGACTTGCAAAAGTAGGAAGAAGCCATCAAAATGTTTCCAAACTGAGTAATTTAGAGATTACTTCCTCTAACTTATAATGTGGCCCTTTGATTGCTGTAATTAAGATAACGTGACCCACATTAAATAAACATTTGCACACATCTGTGTCAGGACAACTTACTGGTGGTGTAATCTTAGTGTATGAAATCTTGTGACAGAGTTTCTGTTAAGTGCTATCCAGTCAGGTTCAGGTTTGGTTTATTTGCACAAGGTCAATAATGCAATGAAATTCTGAGGACGAGAAGAACCGTTTCGACTCACCGAAAAAGAAACGACAACAAGAAATACCAAATCATGAAGCAAAAATACAAAAAAACAAGGCGCCAAAAGTGAAAAAAGAAATACATCTACAGTGTGAATCGGTTATCAGTGAAGTTCTTTCAGCAGCATGGTTCTGTTCTGTTAGCGGCGTGGTCTTGTTAGCAGGTCCTGTTAGCAAGTCCCGTTAGCCGCTTGATGGTAATAACGACTGCAGCAACTGCCCTCCAGAACCAGTCCAGCAGACAAACAACATTCAAGGTTTTCCTTGCGGAGCCGAACTGGTCCGTAGAGTTTGGTCCATGCAGGCAGGTGGAGGATCATGGAGACAGCCATCATGATAGGCCGGAGCCTGAGTCCGAAGCTGGAGTGGAGCCAGGAACTGAACCACGATGGCATGATGACATGATGGCAAGGCAGGGACACAGAAAACTCCAAAAGTGTCATGGTCATCCCCGTAGCATGGGTGTGCAGTGTAGGTGCAAAAAAAGTTAAAACAAGATCAACAGGAACAAAAGAGATCGAGTCGAAGCGGAGCTCCCGTCAGTGTGGCTGTACTGCGGTGCTCGTGACGTCACAAGTCCCTGTGTAACCAAAGCAGGGGCTGTGTCTGCATTTATTGCACAAAGTCGAGCTCATTCTCATTGCAGGTTGGACTTCACCAGGACCATTATCTCTGATCCTGTTTGAGGTATCATAGACAGGATCTCAAGGTGTTGGTATGGAGAAGAGGATGTCTGGTTTGGGAATTTCAGGGTCTCACCTCTGCTTTATGCAGACGATATGGTTCTGTTGACATCGGGTCATGACCTTTTGCATGCACTTGGATGGTTTGCAGTTAAGTGTGAAGCTGAATGAAAGCAGAATGAAAGGTAGTGCCTTGACATCTGAGGCCATGGTTCTCAAATTGAAATGGGTGGAATGCCCCCTCTGGGGTAATGATGGTGAAGAAAGAGTTGAGTCAAAAGGCAAAGTTCTTCATCTTCTGGTCTGTCCATGTTCCAGCCCTCCCCTATCATCTGGTATGGATTGTGACTCAAAGAACAAGATCCAATGGATGCAAGTGGCTGAAATGAGCTTTCTTCATAGGGTGGCCTGGCTCAGCCTTGGAGATAGGGTGAAGAACTCCATCAGCTGTGAGAAGTAGAGCCACTGCTCCTTCGCATCTAAAACTCTGTTGAGGTGGTTCAGGCATGTGATTAGGACGCCTCCCTTTACATGTTTTCCAGACTTACAGGTTTTCTGGGCATATCCAACTGAGAAGAGGTCCATGGGCAGACCCAGAATTTGCTGGAGGGATTGTCTCTTCTCTGGGCATGGGGATCCCCCAGGAGGAGGAGGAATATGATGACGAGGAAAGGGATGTCTGGCTATCCCTCCTGGACCGGTTGCCTAATGTCTTCACAGTCCTACATAAAAAAATTAAAAAAATTAAAAAAGTTGCAAACAAATAAATTGCAGGGATTTCACTTTTGTGAAATTTTTCTTGCTCTGACACTACAAATCAAAAACATCTTCATTGAGTTGTTTCCATTAGAGCTCTATGTATCTGTAACCACAGTGAACATAAGAAGTACAATTGTTTTTGTTTTTTTCATGAAGGCAACGTCAAATTGCTCAGATGAAAGTGCTGAGGATGTTGTCCGTCCCACTCAGAGATGTTATAACAGCGGGAAACATCTTCACGCAGCTCAGAGAGGACAGCTCACTCATCACTCAGAGGCATGATTCTTATGTTTACCTGCTTCCTGCTCCTCACAGGTAAGATGAGGACTTTTTATGAGATGCATGTGGCTGTAGACTGGGAAATTAGCTATTTTACTAAAGTTTTTTTCTCCAATAAGTCACATTTGTCTATTGGATGTGGATCATATGAAGAAACATCCTTAACGAAAATTTAGAGCTTTCATAATGCTAATTTTTCAGTCTTTTAGAAAAAAAAATGTTGCTAATTTTTCTGTCTTATTTAGATTTATTTATTTACAGACATTATAAAATACTTTGTAAAAGTTGAAGGAACTTTATGGATTTTTATTGGAAAACAATTTTTGGAACATTCTCACAGCTAGGCAATTACATAATTACCTGTCTTCCATGGAAATTAGCAAATGGAACGAACAAATGGATCAGTGGACCACTAACCTCTTGCTGCCATGATCCTTGTGTTTTTCACTGAACTACAAAATAAAATTAAACACAAGGTATACCGATGCCTCATCACTGAACTATTTAAAGAGTGAATGTTTGTAGTTTCCCGGTGAGTGCTTTTCAGAACTGGAACTGAACAGGGAATGCAAGTAAACCTTATTTTTGTGGTGCAAGGTATTAAGTGGATATGAGTTACAGTCCATCCATCCATTATCTTTTAACCGCTTCTTCCTTTTTGGGTCATGGGGGTCACTGGTACCTATATCCAGCAGTCACTGTGTGAGAGACGGGGTGCACGCTGGACAGGTTGCAAGTTCATCACAGGGCCAGGAGTTACGATGTGTATAAAAATAGAGGTAGTTTATTTATTTTTATTTGGCTTATCTGAGGCACTGCAGTGACGGATCATTAAGAGTGCAGGGAGCAATTGTATCATTACCAGGCATCGTTCGAGCCGGGGGTGGCCAATGGTGGCCTTGGCCATCGTATATTAATCTTTGGCCACCCTGGGGGGCACCACAAACAGAGGAAACTACATATTTAAGCAATATTAAAACTAGAAAGCATATTTTCCTCAAATGATAAGTGTGGTCTGTTTACATATATGTGTATAAGGTGGTGGCCATCTTTAATTTTGATGTTGCAACCCATTTATTTATTTATTTTGCTTAAAGGCTGCCACAAACCCAAATGAAAATCTTATCTCACTTATTTTCAAGTTATTATACTCACAGCATGCTTGGATGGATGGAGGGTATTTCAAATTCCCTCTTTTTTTGCTCCATGATGGGGGACAATGAATATTTTTATTTTTCTCATGGGTAAAATGTGTACTCAAACATTAAAGTATTCCTCAAACTTTAAACATGATCAAAAAAAAAAAAAAAATTAAAAAAAAAAGACAAAGGATTATGCATGTGTATTTTTTTGTGAAAAAAGTAAGTCTATATTCTTTTCTGTCAGGTGGAAATGCCTCCAGTTCAGACTCACAGGAGCTCAATGTTGATCAACAGAAATACAACGAGGGATCTGCAGAAATGCAAGGTACTAAACAAATCTACAGTATGTTACTGAACACCTGTCAGTTTTTATGAATAAAAACAACCTTTTATGGTAACACATGAAGATCAACAGCAAAAGTAATGTTCTTTGTAGACACATCAGACATACCTTTTTAAGATCACACTTTCACAAGGACAATGTAAAACTATCAGAAACCGAGTTTGCAAGTATATGAATTTAAATGCCATGAAAATGGCTTCAAAATGTTTATTTTTTAAGGTAGAAACACTTCCCTACATTATGGAAATGTCTCTTCATCTCATGAATCTCCCACTACGAATTTTCACCAATTAGGTACAACGAGGTTAATTAGGTCGCCGTAGAAATAAAACTGGAGTTTGTTAGAAACCATCCTCTCAATTTATTAAACCGTGCACACAGATTTGTCAACAAACATTACAGTATTTTGTTTTAGGTCAAGTATTGTTGTTTGGTTCAGTTTCATTAAATCAGTGGTTCCCAACTGTGGTCCCTGAGGAACACCATCCTGCATGTTTATGTTTCTCCGCTCCAACACATCTGCAGTGATTTATTTACTTCTTTAAGTTCTGCAGAAGCCAGTTAATCACCCATTCAGTCAAATCAGATGTGTCACAGCAGGGACACAAGTAAAATATGCAAGACGGTGTTCCTCGGGAACCAGGGTTGGGAACCATTGCGATTAAATAATTGGACAAATTCTTATTTCCAGGGTAACCATCTTTCAAACAAGCGTCAAACCTGTAAAATTACAAACCTCACCTCCTGTCAATGACAGAAAAATATAGACAACACATCACAACAGATTAAATTTTAACTTAGCAAATCAAACAATTTCCCCAAATGATACAAACGTATGTTTCTGCATGAAATGGTAAATGGCATTAAAAGAAGATATAAATGTCTGATTCATAAATGTTTGTTAGGATTCAGGTGAAAACGAGCCGTTATATTGATGGAATTGAACGTTACAGCCTGAGTTTGCAATTTGCAAATGGTCCCTAAACCTTCATCACACTTCTAGTGTTGTTTCCATCTTCTCTTCCAACCATCCTGTAAACTAAACAAAGCACAACACCTGTTGCACGTGGACACTAGTATTGTTGCAGGAATTTGTTCTCTCAGTTTAAAAACTTGTATGCATGGATTCATAGATATTTCATGCCTTGTTTTTGCAATAATTTACTTTGAAATGTGTTTTTGTCTCTGTTGTTTGTTCACATTTTGATTAAGCCTTTGCAAAAACAAGGCATAAAATGTCTAAAGACCTTTTTGTAAACTGATAAACTTTGGGTGGAGTTTGCATGTTCTCTCTGTGCAGGTGTGGGTTTTCTTCAGGTACTCCAGTTTCCTCCCACAGATCAAAAACATTCAGGTTGGGCTGCATGGTAACTCTAAATTGTCCCTAGGTGTGAGGAGGATGTTGGGATGGAGTGATGGAGGCAGATGGTGTGCTGGGGAGACCTCTACTGGGAGAAGCAAAAATGAGAAGCTTTTAAGGAACATAACCACTGACTGTGCTAAAAACTGTTTTTTACAGAATATTTCCAAAGTGTCTTTAATATGAGCCCCGGTTTTAAAGTCCAAGCATATATTTATTTGTTCGCTTTTCATACTTTTTGATAATTTTTCTTACAAAATTGTCTTTTGTGTAAAAAAAAATAAAATAAATAGATTAATTAATTAATTAAAAAATGCTGAATAATAAAGGAAAATCTAAATGCTAAATGGTTTATGTTCTATTTAAATATTTAGTTAATTTTTATATATTTTCCAACATATAAATTGCTCCAGAATATAAGTCGCATCAGTCAAAAAAAACATCAAGATGACAAAAACCTACATAAGTCGCTCCAGAGTATAAGTCGCATTTATTATGCGTCACCGTTGACCTCCGGGAAATATGGGCCGGTGTTGTGCCAAACAAAAGAGTGCACGGGAGGACTCACTGTTGCAGTTCTTCGAAATTTAACAAAATTAACACTTAAAAACAATTATTTGTTTGCTCGAAATTATAGCAAAGGTGTGTCTCAGTTTAACTTTTTCCTTAATAAATGCACTTTAATGGTTAATGTTTGGTGGGGGGTGGCGGGGGTAGCGGTAGAGAAACAACATATACACCAACCGGTAGTTGTCAAAAGGTGGCCGAGATGGTGCAGAGGCAGGGCAGCCGGCTCGGGACCCAAAAGTCTCAGGCTCGATCCCCAGTCACTGCATACCTCATGGTATCTCTGGGCAGCACACCCTATCACACCCTCAATAGCCACCCACTGCACCACCCGGTGGTGGATGGGTTTAACACAGAGACTAATTTCACCATTGTAGGAAACATACAGTGATGACAATTATTATTATTATTAAAAACCTAGAGGGCCCTCTCGCTCCTCTAGCCACTACAAGTGTTAATGTTTACTCTGGTTCATGTCAGTATGAATGAACATTTAAAGCATCAGTCAAAAATTGTGTTTTTGAATATGGGAAAGAATGTATATAAGTAGCAGGACAGGCAAATCTACGCAAAACACTGTGACTGGAAAATACGGTGGGTATGTTTGAGGAATCTGCAGGATTTTAACCTCAGAACGTGAGCTAAATATTGAAAAGCAACATTATGGATTGCTAAACTTTACGACTGTCGCCCCATATCTTGGTGACATAAAATCAAGTGTTGCAAAAAGGCCAATCCTGATTAGAATCAAAATGGATTATTTGCAAAATGTTCATGTTATTATACTTTTTTTTTTCTCACGCACTTCATTTAATGTAAAAATGCTTTATGTTTAACTTTCCATGAACACGAGAACTTTTGGTGTTAAATATATAATTACAAAAGATTCACTGTTTTCTGTTGACTTTTTTTTTTAAGTGTTTGTGATTAAATATATGCGTTTTATGTTTATACAGATCGTGTCTGCAGTTATGAAGACGTCTTAACTTACTTAAACTTGACCAAAGACAACAGCAGATATATCATGAGCCGGCCTGTAAAAAATTACAGAACCACGACAACCGTCAAACTTCAAATGTTAATCTACGCCATCCTAGATGTGGTAGGTTCCTCAAGTGATTTTCATTTTTACCCGGTATGTATCCCTAGAATGTTGAATAACTGTAAAAAGTTCATGAAGACTTTATTTCACCTATAGAGAGAAGCTGACCAAACCTTTATATCGTACATTTGGGTTCACATGGTGAGTTTTCTTTTAAAAAATACTCTTTCAATAAATTAAATAACTGATTCATATAAAAACATACAACACCTTACGTGTGTGCACATCTTCTCAAATGGAAGTAAAACTTGTTTGTTTATATCGCATCCTTTTTGCTTCCTCCTTTTTATTCACTGTCTTTTCTCTATCTCTTTTTTTTTTTTTTCTTCTTCAGCTCTGGGAAAATGATTATATTATGTGGAATACAAGCGAGTTTTGTGGAATTCCTTATATAGAAGTTCCAGCTGAGGTTTTGTGGAAGCCAGACCTGATGATTGAAGAAATGTAAGTGTGCAGGCTGATGCTTAAACTGCTAAAATAAGAGTTTAACTAACAAAACTCTCCAAAACATTTCCGCTAAGTATTGCAAACATGTTTGTAATATGAATTTTTTAAAAAGCACAATTTGACATTTACAAAAGATGACATAATAGAAAACATTAGGAAAAGAACATTTTGCAAGACGGGTTTCTGGGTTCTTGTCCTGTCATCCTTGTTGTTTCAGCTCCCGTCACACCTGTCTGTAATCCTAATCACCCCAGGTGTTCGTCTTTTGTCTCATTTGTGTCTCTAAACATTCAATGTCTCTGTAATCTGTGGATTATGCTCCCAAGCCTGTTGTGTTCTGTTTCTGTCCCTCTTTAACGTGTAAATTTGCCGCACTGTCAGCATTTTGTTTTGTTTATTTATAATAAACTTTGTTTTTTACTTGGGGTTTCCGTTACCTTACTGCACATGGGTTCAACACAGGAAGCAGAACATGATGGGTAAATTGTATCAGAAGCATGAGCCTTCAGTTATAAATTATTTTATAATTGCTTTACTTAAAAACATAACATTCAGGCACTTGAGGGCGTCAATTCAATGCAATTCACTTTATTTCCATAGCGCCAAGTCACAACAGAAGTAATCTCAGGGCACTGAACAGAAGCATTCATATATAAAATAATAATTTAACATTATTTATCTGAGGAGCAGACTGCTTTGAATTTAACTCCATCGCAGAACTTTCATCTTGAGCAAGCATGAAGGCGACAGTGGAAAGGAAAAGCTCCCTCATGAGGAAGAAACCTTTAGCAGAACCAGACTCAGGACAGGCGGCCATCTGCTTCTGCTTGAGTTTAGGCAAAGCTGATACAGAATCACATACTGCGTTTGAACAGACCACAGAAGCTGACTATTTATAAAATAGAAATATCAAAGCAGCCTTAAAAAAAAAAAAAAGTTTGTGGAGCAGTGACTAGCATGTCCTGAATTATGCTCAATATGCAATTAAGAAGGGAGTACCGGTATGTTCATGCTCATTATTCCAGGTAGAACCATCTAACAAAGTTAAGTCAGGTCCTCTGGACGGTTTTTTTTTTTTGTTGTTTGTTTGTTTCGTTGTTGAAACGTTTCGTTTTTCATCCAAAAGACTTAGTCAGTCAGAGGAGCCGAAACAAACTCAGTATTATAAATAGCACCGATCAACCAATTTGGTGGTGCTCAGGTGGTTTCTGTAGTCTGCCCTCTCCACCGCTGCTTGCTCAAACTCTCAAACTAATTTGAGGCAATCATGGTCAAAGTGGTTCAAAATATCCAGATTCTCAATAATCCAGGTAGAAAAATGTAACGCAGTTAAGTCAGGCGCTCCGGACGGTTTCTTTTTGTTGAAAACTTTCGTCCTTCATCCAAAAAACTTCCATCAGTCCCAGGAACCAAAACAAATTCTAGCATAGTGGCTATCATGCTTCACATCAACAAGGTCTTTCCGAGTGTTTCTCTCTTTGTATACGTGAGTTTTTTTTTAACAGGTTCTTCAGTTTCCTCCCACAAACCAAAAGATTGGGTTAATTGGTAACTCTAAATTGTCGCTATAGACGTGACAGCATAAATGTTGTCTCATTTTTCTCTGTGGTCCTGTGATGGACTTGTGTTGTGTTCAAAGTGTACCTCTCGTAAAATAGAAACAAACTAGATAGGCACCAGCTCCACCATGACTCAGAAAGGAAAATGTTGTGGATGGATGGATGAATGGATGGATGGATGGATTGCTGCCACACAGCGAGAAAATCCTGGATTTGATTCTTAGCTGAGACCTTTTTGTGTACGTCCACTTTCCACGTTCTCTTTGTTCATATGTGGGATTTCTCCAGGTTCTCAGGTTAAACATGAACATTGGCTAATTTGGCAACACTAGATTTTCTCCCGGTCTTAATGAGATCATGGATGTTCATCTCAGTTTAGTCTTGTGGTGGACTGGTGACTTGTCCATGTTGTCCCTTTGCCCAATGATGCGTATAGAAAATAGAAGAATAAATGAATTATGGATGGATGAATCCAGGCTGTGTCTCGGGTAAAGATAACATTACCAGAGCATGTGTGGTTTTAAATTAAACTGGAAGTATTTTTAAGTTTAAATTATAGCCCATTGCATAATGGTTGCCTCATTAGATCGGATTCTATTTGAGGCTTAAACTGTTTGACAAGCGTGAGTTTTTATTTATCCCCCAGTTTTTTTGTTTTTATCCTTCAGGATCGAGAAAGACAAAGCTCCACCCAGCCCCTTCCTCTGTATAAATGCTGACGGCACTGTGGAATTAAGGAATGACGTCGTTGTAATCAGCACCTGCAAGATGCACATTTATACATTCCCCTTTGACATCCAGACGTGCAACGTCTCCTTCAAATCTGTTTTGTACGCAGGTAAGCCCTGTTTACGTGCACTTTAATAATTTGAACTCTTTTCTGAACTGGAACGCATTTAATTGGAATTCATTGACATTTACAGCAAATAACTTTAAAAAAAATCGTGCTTGGAAATATTTTCTACTTCTTTGGTGTTTTGTGTACTGTATTATCGAGAGGTGACCATTTAAATCCTTCATTCTTGAGAAACTTAATTTTTATTCTCTTTTTTTAATCTTGTCAGATGATGAAATTAACATTACTGAATTTGAAAACAAGACGATGGCCACTGAGTGGTCTTTTGAAGCAATGCGGTCCAAGTTTGAGTGGATGTATCTCAGCCAGACAATCACCACTAAAACTGTCAACTATTTTGGCTTCAATCAAAGTGTAATTGTATACACGGTAAGTATTTTATGGACTAAAGTCAAAGTTTTCTAACTTTATCTGTTTTTTCTGAACCAAGCTGTGGGAACATGTTGGCAGCAATATGTAAAACAAAGCATTTTACTTTCACTCCTGGTACATGCAGGGTATGCGCCTTGCACCTTTCAGGTATTTGCCTATTATGCACCTGGTATTACCAGGCATGTACCGCGTACACACCTGGTACACACTACGTATGTAAATGGTTCATGCAGGGTAGACAACTGGCGCATACATATTGTTTTGTACCTGACTGTGTTGTGCAGCCACCTGACTTTCTATTGTTGCCTCACATCAATTAAAGTCATAATAGCTGCCAAAATATGCAGTGTTTTAGTGTTATTGATTTTTTTTTTTGTATATGCTTTATATTCATGGTAAAACTAACCACTAAATGTCATTCACTAATGAAAGTCTACCACATACTTTGAAATAAATGTGCAAAATCAGCAGTCATGTTTTGTTGCCAACAATAATAAGTCGTTTGTTTACATTTGACGAGGACACCTAACTGCGTCGGAGTGCGATGGATATTGATTAGGTAAAATATGAAAACAAAGTCAGAGGCTGGACGATAGAATTAAAGACACCAGGTCGAAAACGAAAAGCTAACGTTCTTTCTTCTGAAGAAAACAACGGTGGCAATGGGTTGAATTATAAACAAAGGTGAGCTAGATTTGCTGGTTTTTAACACAATTCTTTTAAAATAGTAGATGAGTTTGAGTTACATTAACTCCCAAAAATCAGTTAATGGTGTAGAAATTGTGTTAGAAGCATGTTCAGATCAAAAACACTGGAAAATTGCGTATTTTGACATCTGTTATGGTTTTAACATAAAGTTCCTGTTGAGCTGCTGTAATCCTGTCTCAGTAAGATATATGTTCATGCTTCATTCTATACAGTTATTTATTAATACAAACAAGTACTGTAGTCCCTCATTTATCGTGGGGGATCTGTACCCTTAAGCACCGCGATAAAACACGCGAAGTAGAAATAGTAGTACAAGTAGTTAATGGTGTTTGTATATATATTTTAAACCCTTTCCACACCCTTGCAATATTCTAAACAATGTTTCTAAATTCTAAACGCTCTAAAAGAGCACAGAATGTCATAATTTCAGCTCCCTGCACTCTCGGCCATGCCCATTTCTCCGCTCTGCAGGAGATCAGCTGCAGGAGAAAGCTTCTCCCACAGCTGTGGCCTGAACACAGGTGCTAAATTATTTAAAATAATTTATTTTACATTTTAAAAAATCCATGCCAACCGTGTGGCTCATCCATCAATCAACCAATTGTGTGTCATGTCCAGTCTTACTTTGAAAAATAGCGATAGAGCGAGTTAACGAAAAGCAAACCAAAGTGGCAAGGGACTATTGCGTATCAAGTAACTGTTGGTTGCTGCTGCTGTTGCTGATTCACAATAAGATCCTTGAACTATTTAATATATTGTTATGCATAAATGTGCAAATACAGCTGCAAAAGTCCATTTTACTGAGCTTCTCATGGGACACAACAAATGGACAATTTAACATCTCATGCATGGCTCAGCACAACTGTCCACCAATCCCCAAGCAGGCATTCTTTTACTTTCAACATTTAAACATCATTTCTACCAATACTTAATAGTATTATATACTGTATACAGTATCATTGTATATATAATACTGCAGGGACATTTCTGTTACTATTACCCAACTGGAAGCTACATGCTGCTGATTCTTGTTTCTAACACAAAGGAGTTAGAGGTTTAACTCTCTGTTACATGCTTTCACAGATCAAAATGAAGAGGAAATCTGCCCTCTATGTGGCAAACTTTTTGCTGCCTGTCCTTTTCTTCTTGTGTCTGGACTTTGCCTCCCTCCTGATGTCAAACGGTGGGGACAAGATTAGCTTCAAGGTCACGGTGCTGCTTGCCGTCACCGTGATGCAGCTTATTCTCAACGAGATTCTACCTGCAACCACAAACAACATTCCACTCATAGGTAAACACGTCTGGAATTGTGTCCCCAGCTAGGGTTTGTATGTGGCGTTTATGCTGTCACAGAATGTTGCAAAAATGGAGATGACAGAGACGCAAAGCAGAACAGAAAGGGTGGATAAATCAAAACCATGATCTGACACCAAACAAAGGAAACCAGACTAACGTTTTGCTGACGACAAAAAAATAAGCGAGTCACAATCTGCAAACAAAGGCCAGGGGTGTCAACAGCAGGAGTAAAACTAACTGAAGTAGCCTAACCAAGTTCCACACTGAACTAGGGAACATGGAAAAAGAACAAAAACTCGCTGCACAGAGAAGAAAACAAAAGTTATGATAATAAAACTAAGGTTAACTAAATCATCACACACTGAATTAATCTCATTTATGTTGCCCCCTCTATGTTCAAACAGAGGCAACATAATGCCTCTTTGAACAAAGACGGGGCTGTGGCTGAGTGGTTAGAGCAGTCGTCCTCCAATGCAAGAGTTGGGGGTTCGATTCCACCAGCAGTCACATGCCGAAGTGTCTCTGGGCAAGACACTGAACCCCTCATTGCCTCTGATGTGTGTCCCATCAGTGTATGAATGTGATAAAGCACTGATTATTATTTGTACAGAAATAGTAGAGTTCTGTATGAATGGGTAAATGACGGCACATATTGTAATGTAAAGTGCTTTGAGTATCTTAATAGGATATAAAAGCTCTACATCAGTACAGTCTATTTACCATAATATGGAGTTATAGGTCTGCTTGTGTCAGACACTTGAGCATGCAGTGGAACTTGCATATTCACCTGAGCAAACAATAAGGTGACCTGTTCACACACAACTTTGCATGTTCACGTGTTGGAATTAACACACTTCTAATTATGACATTACTTTAGAAGGTAATACTTGTCCCAGTCACATTACTAGTTCAAGGTTCAAGGTTCTTTAATGTCATTCGCATCACAAGTTGTACATGAGGTGGAATGAAATTGTGTATTCAAGGTCCCAGTTACACCCAAAAAAAGCAATATATATATATATAATCAGTAGAAATAAAAAACAATATAAGGATCTAAGATGTACACTAACACTAATAATATAAATAATATGTTGTACACAGCAATCTAAACAAGAGTCAACGATGGGCATGATATAGCAGCTTATAGGTAAGAAATCAGCAGCATGGATAAAGTGTTAAATGTCCAATTAAAGTGTCATTACACTGATTTGTCTGGTTAGGGATTTGAGTCTTACAGCTTCAGGGTAGAAGCTCAAGTCAGATTAAAATGAAATTATATACCCAATCACATTATTAGAAACTAGATTTTAACGGATCGTCAGTTTCTATTGTACTAGGTGAAAAGAAGTTTAAAATATATAAATTTTATTTTAAAAGTTTAAGGGACTGTTTTAACATGTAATAGACTGAGTGGGAGATGTGGTCTATTCTAGAAGGAGGGTGCTCACCCGGGGACGCCATTCATGTTAGAACCACGACTGGATGAGCAACACATTTAAAATAAATCAAATGGATTCAGCCTATGAGCAGAAACGGAACATAATCATGTCCTGATTGCTCTTCTTAGTGATTTACTGCATTGGAAGTTTTGGTCTGATGCTGCTCAGCCTCCTGGAAACGATTTTGATCAACTATCTGATGGAGAAAGACGCATCTCAGGACGGCACAGAGCAAAGTCTGAATGAGGAAAGAGGTGATTATCAAAGCTGAATTCATTTTAACTCAAGAGAGTACTTTTACACTGTACAAACTATGAATATGAATTTAGTGTCATTCATAACATGCTATAATATCCTTTTTGCTGATATAATTGTATACATATGTGTTGAAATCACCTTTTTGTCCTTCTAGAAACTAATGCATCCATTTATGAGAAGTTGGCTGATCAAACATCGTCAGTCTACAAAGAGGTTGGTGTTACTGTCGCATAAAGTTTTGTCATTCAAATAGGAAAAAGAAAGATGTTAAAGTTTTGAGATTTTTTTTTTTAGCTCAAATAAAAAAATGTTATTGGTATTCAAAAGAATGAGGAAACTGAAATGAGATTATTTTTGTAGCTTGGATGAAGAAATTGTTTTATTTTCCTAAAGGAGAAAATGTTTTGACTATTAAGCTTGTAGTCGAGCATTGAACCAGCAACTTTCATGCCAAATCAACAACTCAGCTGTTCCTTCATGAATTGGATTTATGCATAAACTAGAAAAAAATGGACAAAAACTGAATTTTGTGGTGCACGCAAGTTTATTGTGGTGCACGCAAGTTTAATGAATAATTTTTTGTCACTATTAGTGAAACTGCACTTGTTATGACTTAAAACAGTGGTTCTCAAACTGGGGTCCGCAAACAAAAAATAATAATAAAAAATAATATATATATATAAAAAATTTTTTTTTTTTTTACAAACACATAGATGTTTAACTACCTGTTAAAATAAATCAAAAAATGCTGGAAATCGCATTTACTTTATTCAAAAATGCCTGGGGGAGGACCCAAAACCCCAGAGTCACAGTCTATATAGAATACTATCAGTATTGATCAGTTTACAAATTAAGTCCTGTTACTTGGGATGACTCCTGATGTTATGATTCTGTTCAGTTTTATGTAAAGTGTTTCCTGTACTAATTTGAAGAAGTGGCCTTATTATGTTCATTGTGCGAATAGGTAAAGTTTTAAAGTGGTTTTTGATGCTGTTAATTTTCTCAAAACTGTCATTTTTGGAAGTAGAAATTTAAACATTTTGTTAAGTGTGTCTTGAATGAAAAATACCCCACGTATAAAAGTATAAAAATTGTATTAACACTATTAAAGAACAGGTCTTACGCATTTATGTTACACAAATATTTCCATTGCATTAAAGAGACAAACTGTATAAAATTCTTTAATGAACATGAGGGTTATGAGGGACCCAAAAAGTTTGAGCACCTGAGTTAAGACATTTAAACCAGTGATATCACCTTTTTCCTGAAGTTCCTCCACTTACGCTCAGAAAATATCAGAACTGCCCCCTCAGCCTTGAAGACTCAGCAGGTGAAAGGCTTTGGTTTTAATTGTGACAAGGAGCTGAAGACCGTGCATAAAAAGTAAAATAAACTGTGTTTGGAGACTCAGTTCGTCCTTTATCTATTAAAACTTTCTGTCAGCCCTCTCTAAAAAGATTGCATTTTATTGGTTGTGACAGTGCAGAAACTGTTTAACTTCTGAAGACAGTCATAAAAACTTACAGTATCTGAGCTGAGTGTAATTTTGTTCATAATCCGGTTGATAAGTTGTTCACTGACTAAATTACGCTTGCAGGGCAGCGGCAGCCAGCTGACTGAGCTATTCCTCGCAGTGGAAAAGGTTTCAGCTGAGATAGGAGTGATTAAAACATGTGTACTTCTGTCAAGAAACAAGGAACAGGAGACGCCTGGATACTGGACCAGCCTGGCTAACAGAATCAACAAGGTTTTCACAGTGTTTTATATCGCAGCAGTCACTGGGTTTTTATGCACCTTGTTTTTCCTGTGGATCTCAACATCGCAATCAGAATAAAAATGCAAACGGCAAGATTCAGTTGTAGTTCTCTAATGTATGCATGGATCTACGTGTATTCTTCCTACTTCTCTCTCACCACTTTCACTATTTTCTGCACTAATCACAAAGTCTCTGCAATCAGGTCCAAGAAAGCTGTGCAAACACAGAACTTTGATGGATCTTCTGGTATTTTTAATTGTGCATTCGTGTTTTTATTCAAACTGACCACATCTACAGTTGTTGCATGTTTTACAGCTAACGCATATTACGCATGCATTAACTTGTGTCTTTTTCCGATTACTCGGGTGTGTTTGCATTATTTGTACGATGTTTGCATTTAATAGCTAAAATATTGTGGTAATGTTTAAGTAATAATTTAAACAAACAACATATTATATTTCGAAGATACTACAAAATCAGTGCTCTTCTGGTGATTAAAATATAAAGTTGTTGTATTTCTGGGATTATTCTGTAGTAACTATTTTTTGCTAATTAAAATGTAGCATGTACTCAAGTAATCGCTTGTAAATAGAATGTATTCTACTGTTACTTTAAATAAACTCAGTTTAAAATAACAGCCAAGATTTTGGTTTGTTGATTGTCTTTAAATCACTTCTTGGTCTGCTGCCTTCATACATCTCCTCCTACATGTCTCTGCGTGAGTGCAGCTACAGCGTGCGCTCTCAGGACATTATTACCTGCAGTGTTCCCTCAGTGCGGACTGAACTAGGCAAAAGGGCCTTCTCCTACTCCGCTCCTGTTTCCTGAAATATCTTACAAAAAGATCTCTCTCTCAACTTTGACCTCTCTAAGTGGCTTTAAGATTCTGTTGGACTCCTGGCAAGGACCAATGCAGACATGCTCCTGTTTTTAGTTTTCTACATTCGCCTTATGATCTAGCTTTTTTTTTTTATATATATATATTTTTGCCATCTTATTTTAATTTGTTTAAATAAAAAGTATATATCTGTATGCCTCTTTTATGATTGCCCATTGTTTTCATCATTCTTTGTTGAAATCAGGTCTCTCTTGTAAATGAGACCTCGAGGCTCAATGGGATTAACCTGTCTAAATAAAGGTTGTGTAGTTCATCCTGTGAGATGAACAAAACATTTTAATTTGGAGAAGCAGGCAAAAGTCTTCATCCATGTTAGGCTAATGGCCAGCCAAACCTGATTTTTATAAATTTTCAAGCCTATAAAACAACTTTAGAGCATATCTGTGTATTTTTTGTGTGTTTTGGCTGAAGTTTTGATTTCAGTGTTTACCAGACCATTCTTATCTTACTTCAATTCAGTGTGTTTCTCTTTCAGTTTACATCTTGTTCATTCTGTGTTTTGTGTTTTATTGTTAGTTGTTTGAGTATTCTTGTGTTTTCCCTGTGTCAGTTCTCATTTCATCCTCGGTCAGCTTCCTCAGTTTTTGTTTTAGTCGGCCTGTTCCCACTCTCCATCGTTTCAGTGGTTTCCAATATCTCATTATCTCGGCTCTGTTCAGTCTCCTGCCTTCAGCTGTTCATTACTGACCTGTGTGCCTCAATATCCTGATGCATGCTCAATAATCCAGGTAGAAAAATGTAAAAAAATTAAATCTGGTCCTCTGGACACTATTCCACTCTGAGGGTTCCTGGAACCTGACTGGTTTGTGCGTTGCTGCCTATGTTAATCAGGAGCTTTAAATGCTATAAATATATTTTATTTTATTTTATTGTCACTTGAGCAGCATCTTCCTCAAGCTCTGAGGATTGTGCAACTGGCTAAGCATTATTCTCATATTTTTTTATATTTGGTCCCTTTATTCCTTTTTATAAATGCCACACAAGACAACTGACTTTGTAAATTCTTCAGTTCACCTTTATTTCTGAAAATCCATTATAAACACTAGATTGGCTCATTTTAAACAGTTACACATTTGTTTAGTTTGTTTTGTAACCAAGTAACGTGTTATTTTGTGAACAAATATGAGTGGAGAGTAGATATATATAAAAAAAAAAGAATAATATTATATATATAAAAATAAAAGGAACATCAGCTGCATCCTTTTTATAAATTTCCCACATTATGGGCACAAATTACCGTTAAATGTAGTTTGTGCTTTTTAATCAAACTATAGTTGTGAATTACGTTTTGTAACCTTGTAAAATAGAAAGGCTAGGAATTTCTGCTTTGAGCATGGATAAATAGGAACGTGTGTGTTTATAAAAAGATATGTATTTGATTATTATATACAAAGTATTTCCCCCATACCATTGTCTTTTTAAACAGTTTGACATCTATGCACAGATGGCATCTAGTATTTAGGCATTTTTACAACTAAACTCTATTTCCATTTCATATTTATTCATTTTAAATAAGCCTTTGTTCCTGAGTCCATATTCTTATAATGGACATTTTAAAATCTGAGCTCAGCACTAAATTGTTTAGAACTGAGTCGAGATGGCTCATGCTGTGCCAGATGATCAGTTCATGCCACAGGATTGGGTGTTCAGACCGCCCTCCCCACTTCCTGTTTGTGGGATGATTTTGTTTTGTTTCGGTAATATAAAATTTCATCTCAGCTCTGATTGGCACACTCCCTGTTCAAGTGTTTCAGTGTCTGGATTTTCTAATCATGTTGCTGACAAACTTCCTTTTTCTGCTGCTTCTCATGGGTATGATTTATTATTATTATTATTATTATTATTATTATTGATATTGTTGTTTTTGTTGTTAAGCATACTTTATTATATTAAGTTAAACAATACGAGACAAATTCTGAGAAATTGTACAATTAAATATGGTTTAATAAATGGCATTGCTATGTATTAGATTTCATTTTTATTACAATAATAAGCACACACTTGTTGATACATACAAGCTGCATCTCTAGTGGAGAGTCTCGTCGGGGGACTGCAAAAACATTTTGTGGTTAACCGCCATCCCCTGCACATGTCTATCTGTAACCACGAGCCTCAGAATGACGTCTGAGTTTTCTTTAGATCGATGCGAAGAGACAGATTAAAAATGCATGAACTTCAAATCCAGAAGTAGGAACAGAAATAGCATGCAGAAAAGCTCAAGAAGTGTGATGATTTAAACCAAAAAAAATTTAAATTAATCAGTTGTTATTGTTGTATTTATGTGTATAAAACTGTAGACGGTGATACATCTGAAAAAGTGTGTAGTTATCAGGACGTTTTAGACTACCTGAAACTGACTAAAAGCAGCGAGCTGTTCTCCATGACCCGGCCTGTCAAAGACTTCACTAACCCCACAGTGGTGGCTCTGGAGGTTCTGCTGTATGCCATCCTAGATGTGGTAAGTGTTGGTCTTTTCCCAATATTAACCTGTATTGCTCAAAGGAGAGAGGAATAACTCATACAGATAAACTTTGGAAGGTTATTTGACCACAGAGAAGGAACCACAGCCGCTCTACATCTTGTCCCACAAGCACAAAATAAATGGAAAGAGTAATGCACATTCTCAGCAGCCCATTAAGGCTGAGTACACAAAGTGCCAGTTTCATTCAATTGTCTTTGCTCACATTACACAAATAAATTCATATTTATTGATAAAATAATGCTGAGGGACAAATTTCTTCAGGAAATAAGAGTTTAAGACAAGATGTAAAGTTATTTAATTTGATTGGTCTAAAACAGGTCTAACAGTTCAGTCAAAAGACAGTGAAGTGCATTTTCAGTCATTTTATATGCTTTTTGCATTCTTGTAATCTTTGCAGTGTGATATTTTCATCTCTAAATCATTGACCAAGTGTGCCTTTTTTTTGCAACCATCTCTAAAGGCAACATGAAAGCGAGTGACTCGTTAAATAAATAATAAAAAATGTGACGTATGATTAATTAGAAATGTAGCATTTTTTACTGCAATGCAGTGTGAATGCTAATTGCTGAATAGCTTAGCAGAAGAAACAAAAACCGAGTTAAAGGGAGAAAGCACAATACTAGCTAAATGCTAAAAAGAAAATTCTAGCTGAAAGCTAAAAGTTGCAAAAGCATTTAGCTAAAAATGTCAAAATGCTAGCTGAAATAAAAGTGTCAAAAATCCTAGTTAAAAGCCAAAAGCAAATTGATAGTTAAAATGTAAAAGCAGCAGGAGAAGACAAAATAGAGCCAGCATGCTAAAGCAGATATGTTTTTAATAAACTGAAGAAATCTCAGTTTCCATGGAGAAATCCTGAAGTTTTGAGTTTGAACCCAGGTTGCGTCAAGAAGGGCATCCAGAATAAAACAATTCCCAAATCTTTCATGCGAGTTTGTTGGATAAAAATATCCTCTATTCATCTTAATTACTAAAAGAAGCCACAAGAGGACATACACGTAAAAAGATATTTAACCGTTTTTTACTTGCAAGGACAGATTTTCACTCACAGCCTTACACAGAAGCATCATTGAAGCCCAGTCATGAGAATCTGCACCGGACTGTGTGCGAGAATAGTTTATATACATGCTTTATCTGCTATCACAGTACCCAGACTGTACTGATGTACATGATGACCTCGGTCTCCCAGCTGTACATGCAGGATCAAATCAGCTCCTTAGAGAGAAAAGAACTCTCTGAACTCACACATGGTTGTCGTAAGGGGCTGGTGCTGGTAAATCCAGGTGTGCAGGCAGGTAGTCAAGGACTCAGAAGGATATAAAATAAAGAATGTATTTACAAAACAAAAGCTGTTTGTGCAGCAAACTTTACATGAGTAAAAAGGAGTTTGCAAGAAGCAGACCAGGACATCACCAGTAGACAGGAAACGATGCCAGGACAAGGAGTGAGACAAACACACGGGCTTAAATACAGGAAACACCAATTAAACAAAGTGAAGGCACCTGTGAGTAATCACAGATGCCAAAGACAGAGACTGAGGATGCAAGACATAAACATGACACAAGATGGAGCCAGATACTAAGGAAACACAAACCTTATAAAGCTAGAAACAGAGGAGCAGGGGAACGCAGACATAAACACAACACCAGAAGGGAATAGACACCAAGAAACATAAACCACAACCCCTACAATGGTTCAACATTAATTTAGCATTAGTTTGTGATAAACATCCTTGACCTTGACCAAAATTCCCTTGACAGCGTTCATTCACACAAAAAGATTTTGCAAAAGAAAGCAGCAAAAGAAAATAAATGAATATATAATATAAATAAACATTTTGTAAAATATAAGTTATTGATCTGAGCCTTATCATATATCAATGGCTAAAATACCCTAAAGAATGCTCAAGTAGTTAGATACAAAAAAAAAAAACTTTAAATCTTTTAAAGTGGGCTTCTGTAAAAAAGTTTATTGATTATTTTTTTGGTTTTGTGTAATTTATGTGGATAGTTCTTGGAACAAGGTCAGTTTGGAGACATAAAGTTGTTAACTTAATTAATTTGGACCATATCGGCGAGAAAAAAATCAAAGTGGAACCACAACCAATGTGGATATGACCTAAAACAGCTCCAGTCTCATGCAAACTCTTAAAAACCTTTAAATCAGTTACACTTTTTTATGTTTAAGTTACATTTTTCATTCTCTGGCTTTACTTTTCATATTTGTTCATATAGAAAGAGATAGACCAGACGTTTGTTCCCTACGTTTGGATTATTTTGGTAAGTTTTAAATTAAAATAACATGTTTTTATTCTCCTCTTTCTCTCCTTCATTGTCAAACATCTTGGACATGTTTGTCACTAAATGATAACTTGTTTCTTTGGGTAATTTTGTAGGTCTGGCAGAACGATTACATTTCCTGGAATCCCAGGGATTTCTGTGGAATAGAAAATGTTAGTATTCCTACTGAGATTCTCTGGAAGCCAGATCTGACCATAGAGGAGATGTAAGTATGCACGTGCACCCTTTTGCTTAGAGAAATAATGATAATTTAAAAAAACTCAACTTGAAACATTAGTTGATTACTTCAAATTAAATAAGTGACTTGTACAGAAGAAACCAAAGGTATCACATGCTCTAAAATAGAGAGGGACACCCAATCTTTCTGCACGGTTAAAGCCTGCCTCTCTGATGGTATGGGGGTGCATTAAAGCCTCAGGCATGAGCAGCATTCACACCTGGAAAGGTCCCATCAATGCAGAAAAGCACTTGTGCTCCTAATCCAGGTGACATCTTTTTCAGGGAGCACTTTTTTTTTTTAAACAAAACATTTTGCTGTCATGAAATTTCAAATGAGCTTTTTGTGTATAATGATACAATTTCTTCGTTTCAACATTTGATACGTTTATTCTGTTCCACTGTGATAAAATATGGGTGTATGAGATTAGCAAATCATTGTGTTGTGCTGTTATTGATAATTTCACACATTAGTTGACACTAGTTGCAGTTTTTATATTTGCAGGTTGAGCTCACAAACATTTTTCAGTCAAGGACTAGTCCAGAAAAATACAATCCAACGTATTTATTTATTTATTTGTTTAATTATTTGTTTTCAGTATGTTTATGTACTTATTTACTTTTTAACCTGCCCATAAAGCGAAAGCGTACCTCCAATTTGAAAAGTGTATTTTGGGGAACTAAGGGAGTGGTGGCGCATAGGTTGGAGAAGGTGGGCTTGTGATAGGAAGAAGTCATCAACAAATTTTTCTGAACGGATTTGTTGGAAAATTATTCAGTGAAAATTTTCTTTTACACCATAATGGATACAAAGATGTTCAATATGCATAAATGTTTTGTTAAATGTCCAACTTGTTTTAAAGACACTGCACCTTTTGAATTCAGCTGAATATTATACTGTCAGTGTATTTTTCTTCCACAATATTCGACTGTGTCTACAATTTGTACGTTTCATTTATTATACAGGACACAAAAGGATACAGCCCCTCCAAGTCCTCATCTAATTATCATGAGCAACGGTAAAGTCCTTGTTCAGAACGATCAGGTGCTGGTCAGCACCTGCAGGATGCAGGTTTACAAATTCCCGTTTGACCTCCAGAGCTGCAACCTCTCAGTCAAATCGGTTGTCCACTCTGGTGAGCCTTCTGTGGGTTTACATTCTTTGTTTACTTCGTAACTAATTTGATCTCATTGCAGGTAGTTTTAAATAAAATGCAGTGCTCTTTATCAAAATGCGCTGAAAATATGTAAGAAAGTTATTATGACAATGTAATGCTCAGGTTGAAATACTGCAAATAAGTTTGAATTAAATGTTAATCTTCTTTCTTATGTTTAAACATTTATCTTTTAAAACCTCCGTTTCCTTGTTTTCTCCCATTTCAGTCAACGAAATAAGGCTCATTCATCACTTGAACTCCTCAGTGAGCACTAAGTGGTCGCGCCAGTTGATGCGCACGCAGTACGAGTGGCTGTTTGTGAACATGACCATCACCTCCAAAACGGTGTTTCCGTTTGGAGTTGAACAAGACGTGATTATTTACACCGTAAGTACCTGGGATATATAAGTTGTTTTTACAGAGTGCATGTCTTGATTAAAAGACAGTTTGATACATACTTAGATAAATGTTTGATATAATTTAAGGACAGTTCAATTGCTTTTATTTTCCATTCTTAATGAAAACTGAGTTGTTGCCATGTTGATCAAACCTTGAAAACCCAGAATATAATGCACTGTAATGCACAGTCTCATGCAATATTGTAAGATTTCACCCGTGAATGACTCGAAGATACTAAGACAACAAATATTAGAGCGATATCTCTAAAATCTACTGAATTAGAGTAGAATAGAATTCAGACTCATCCCCACACTGATGAGCCCTACCACTGTAGTGTCATTCACAGTTTTGGCCATGGTGTTGCTGTGGTGAGAAGGGGTGCAGTCATGTGTAGAGGGCATAGAGCAGGGGGCTCAACACACAGCCCTGGGTGGCTCCCCTGTTGAGGCTGAGGGTCACGGATGTGTGATGGCCCACTTGAACCCTCGGACTGCGGTCGCACAGGAAACTGTTTATCCATGTGCAGGTGGAGTGTGGAAGCCCCAGTTCCCCCAATTTGTTAGGGAGGGTGGTGTTGATAGCAGAGCTATAGTCTACAAAGAGCACCCGCACATCAAGGTTCAAGGTTCTTTATTGTCATTTGCATCACATCTGGTACATGAGGTGGAACGAAATTATGTACTCAAGGTCCCAGTTACACCCAAAAATATCAAAAATATCTCTTTTTCTCCAGGTGGGACATAGAAACATGGAGGGCTGTGCTTATTGCATCCTCAGTTGATCTATTAGGTCTGTAAGCAAACTGTTGGGGGTCAAGTGTTTGTGGGAGGTGTGGTGATGAGCTTTTCAAAACTGCATCACCACTGGAGTGAGAACAACTGGCCAGTAGTCATCTAGACTGGAAATTTGGGATTTCTTGGGTATGGGGGCAATTGTAGTTATAATTATTTAATATATGAGAATACAATAGTTATAATTTTAAATTATAGCCATGTGTTTTTTAACATCTGTTGTGGTTGACAGACAAATTGGATTAGCTGCAGATGTTCATTACTTGTAGATGACACATCAACTGATTATTTCCTGGAAGTTTCATAATTAAAATCTGTCCTGTGTTTCATGGGATGTTTTGGTAACAATCAGACTGTGTTGACTCCAAATAGTTAATGGCAAAATTATAGACAAGGACTTTGTATAATCTGTTAGCACTCAGAATATGTGTTGGAGATCAGTACCACACCAGATTTTAAGTCACTGTTTGTAAATCTGATTGGGTTGTAGCTGTCACCACCACAGCTTATCAACTTCAGCCAACACAAAAATAGAATTCAGCTCGTTTTAAAAATGAGTTAAAATTTGTTGTAGTCGTACCTGAGAGTCATCCCCAACAAATAATATGAGCGCTAACACATCACACGAGATCTTACTTTAAATTTATGTATTTGAGGTGGATAGTAATGTGAATTATTCAAGGGGTTTCATTGTCTGTTGGTTGCCACAAACAGTGGAGAGAAAATTGTGAGGTAAATATTCTGTTTATAACTCCTAAAGCGTCATAATTTGATAAGGCCAATCCCTAAATAAAAGTTTGTTTATAAGTAACATAACATTTGCACCTTACTGCAGCAAGATGATCAAATTTTTAACCATCATTTATCTGTTAAGGATTAAAATACCAAGATTTACTGATGAGATTAGAGGCTACAGTACAGAGTATCTTGTTTTGCTTTTATCAGAGATTAAAGAGTATGTAAGTACAATCTCCCACTTCCATACTCTTTCACAGATCTTCATGAAAAGAAGAGCTAAACTCTATATTGTCAACTTCCTGCTGCCCATCCTGTTCTTGTTGTGTTTGGACTTAGCCTCGTTCCTCATCCCGAACAAGGGAGGCGAGAAGCTCAGCTTTAAGGTCACCGTGCTGCTCGCCGTCACCGTGATGCAGCTCATCCTCAACGATATCCTGCCGTCGTCATCGGACAAGACCCCACTTATAGGTAAAATAATCCAAAAGGTCTGGTGCACTGTGCAGAACTCGGCTGTGCTGCTTATACTAAGCATATAGAAGTTTAGATGTTCACAGGGTTGGCAAAACAAGAGTAACTGATTATTACCATACGTGTTTGTGGGAAAAAAAAATTTTAAATGTTCACATGAGATATAAAAAGTGAGAAATTATCAGAGATGCATGATGGAAGTAGCAGCTGCATAATCCATGCGGTTTTTATTGAGTTATTTCCATTTTTAAAATACTCCCAATCTTTGTAGAATTGTTGTCAGATATTAATGTCTGGAGTGCATGAAAATGAATGTAGCAGAATACATTGTAGAATTGATGAGTTATGAATTATGAATAATTGTTGAGAGTTAACTCTGCAAAAGTATCCAATCAGCAACAGTGGTGGAGAAAGTACTCAAACACTGTACTTAAATAAACGTACAAATAAACAGAAAAAAATTACTTTAGTAAAAGTACAAGTACCACATTAACGTTTTTACTTGAGTAAAAGTAGTAAGTTCTTACCTTTTAAAATTACTTAAAGTATTAAAAGTAAAAGTATTTGCTGAATGTATTACCTATTTTATTTTTTATTAATCTTTATTTAACCAGGCAAATCCCATTGAGACCACAGATCTCTTTTGCAAGAGAGGCCTGGGCCTAACAGGCACGTTTTTGGTGGATGTACCTAATGCAATGGTCTACAATATCATTAAGTGTACCTACTGTATATATATTTTCTGTAATACGTTAATAGTGTTGAGCCATTTTAATGAACAATGCTGCAGATAATTCATGTTTTTATTGTGTTTACTCTGACACAGTTCACACTTGGACTTGTGATTCTGTGTCAGAATTTCAGGGATGACCTGCAGAGTTAAATGCCATTAAGCAAAATAAGAAAGAGGAATGATTATACCTTTTGAAAGTTTTTATTTAACACAAAGCAAAACCAAAGCAAAACCAAAGTGTCATTTTAACTGCAGTAAACACATTTAAGTAAAAGTTGTCTGCCTGAACAAAAGGAGCATTAGACACAACTAACAAAGGAACAGGCTCTGATCAGTTCAACTCCAGTTTCTCATCAACTCTAGTTAAAATACTGTCTAGTCAACCTTGTAATGGGTCAATAGTGAACAATATTTTAACTTCCTGACACCATTTTCAAAACTTGGACCCGAGTGTCGAGAAATTTGGAGACATCTCTTGTTTCTTAACATCATGAACTGACACATTTTAATATTTGCAGCAAGAATTTATTGTTCAAGTTCAGAAGAAGTTGGTTTTCAATGTTTTTGAGTCCAGTCTGGTTCTTTTGGGAGAGAGAATTTGTCCTGATGTACTGAACAGTCTTTCAATAGTCTTTCAATAGTCTTTCAATAGTCTTTCAATAATAAATAATAATTTAATTTGTAACGCACTTTTCATTAACAAAAATCTAAAAGTGCTACAGAGTGCAACTAAAATCTGTGATAAAATCAAATAAAATCATTGATAAAATTAACTAAAATCAGTGATAAAATCAACTAAAATCAGTGATAAATCAACTACAATCAATGATAAAAATTAACTAAAATCAATGATAAAATCAACTAAAATCAGAGATCAAAAATCAACTAAAATCAGCTATTGAAAATCAATGATAAAATTAAAATCAATGATAAAATCAACAAAAATCAATGATAAAATCAACTTAAATCAGTGATAAAAATCAACTAAAATCAGTGATAAAAATAAACTAAAATCAATTATTAAATCAACTAAAATCAGTGATAAAAATAGC